CACTTTTACTATAATTTCGAGCAAACAAATAATTGTTTTTAAGTGTTAATCTTGTTAAATTCTTCTTAAAGTTCTCCCGTGCACGCTCCCCCGGCAGCCATTTGGCTGGCCATCGATTTTTTTGTACAACACCAGTCCACATTTCCGAGTTTTCAGCAGTGACGCGTAACAAACGCGACGCGTCAGCGGTGACTCGTAATATATGCGACGTATACAGCAAAGCAACATATTTATGGATTTTTCCACTTTATTAGACAAATATGGACTGATGCGACTTATAGGGTGGAAAATACATAAGGTGCACCAGATTATAAGGCTCACTGTCGATTTTTGAGAAAATTAACGGGTTTTAAATGCGTCTTATAGTCTGAAAAATATGGTAGTTTGGTCTTCGGCCCGTGATGAGGTTTTATGTGTATCTGTGTCTGCAGAAACCGGCTGTGTCTATTTTTAGTGCTGTGCTGCTCCTGAGCTTAATGCTCGTGTGTTTTCATCGAACTAGTTCTAAAACCAACCTCGCTTTTTTCATCTCAAGGCAACTTTTCCACATTTTTGCTGCCCCCGTCTTAACTTTTGTGTGAAATATCATAAATATCAGCTTTTTACATAAAAACAGACTAATAAATCGTTTGATAATCGTTGCATTGCAGATTAATTGTCAGCATTGTTGTTAATTATCCTCTTGCACATTCGTTTAAAAAGGTATTTTCTAAGACTAAACAATGGCAATCTGTCCAACGATTTGTGAAATATTTTGCTAACAGCCACTGTCAATGCTACTTTTAAACAAGGATCACTGGGAGAATTTATTGAGACAAACGGCTTTAACAACACAATATTTTAGCTTAAAATATGTGAAGTTGTCTGAGTTATAGCTACTTTCATGTTTTCTAAGTTCAGCTGGCTGTGGCGGCCATCTTGACTTGGATTGGCACCAAATGTTCACAAGTTGTAGTTGCACATCCAGAGATTGTTTCCTGAACATTTCAACAAAACCTGTTGTGTCCAATAACTGATGGCAAAGTTTCAAACACAGACCTCAGCACTCAGAGTATAAGTTGTGGATCAGTCTCAGCTACTGCCACGCCAAAGTTTAGCTCCAAATGATGAAACGGAGTTCTGTTTGATAACGTCACTTAGCTGTGGCCTCCATCTTGAAATGGATAATCAGTTGTACATCCAGTAATCAGAGACTTCAGTTCCAATAACTGCAAACTGACGGACCTTAAAACACCAAAAATAACGAGTTAAACTGTGATTTATTACAAACGGTTCATAAAGGTGTGTGACCTGTTAGTTGTTTATTTGTAATAGGCCACAAAAGCCAAACCTGCAGATGTAAAATGTGACTTTTGGCCTTTACTTGGAGCGTAAACGTCACACAGAGTGTTGTTTCTCTCAAGTCTGAGGTGGAAGCACAGATCAGCGTCGGTTCATCCGAGCGGAGAAGGAAGCAGCTCTGCTCCTGTGGCTGCACCATGACGACCGCTGTCACGGCCGGGATCCGTCTCCACATCGGGCTCGTTTTGTTCCTCTCGTCCGTCAGCATCTCCAAACCCCTGAGAGATCTGCTGTTTCCAGACGACTGGGGTATCGCACGAAAGGAGAGGTTCCTTCGTTCTGTTCTGCGTTTTTCTGGATCACAAACCTCAGCACAACATTAAGAAGAGTATTTTTAACAGCAGAGACGCTGCTTTAACAAACTTTAGCTGTTTTATTTTGCCCTTTGTGTCTCTCTGGAGATGTTTCTTTTCATCACTGTGCTCCGTCGCTGACTCAAGTTATAATGAATAATAACCGAGGCTCCCTCTTTGTCTTTCATCCTGTTTTCTTTAACACAACCGCACGCCCAAAGACTTCCTGACAGCTACAAGACAATGTTGATGTCAGGTTTTGGTGAAACGAAGCTGCTCAGAGGAAAAATAAATCATATTTCTGAATTTGGTTAGAACGAAAAAATAAAATGGCTTCTCGCCTCTTATTTCTTACCTTCACAAGGTTAATATCAACCACTATCTGTGTTTATTACTGTCCAACACCACACAGCGAAATGTCAGTCATAACGTTTTTGCTCATAGTGCTTGTGTCTGTTAGCAAAATATCTCATAACCCTGTGGATGGATATGAAGGAAATTCGTGGTGTCACAGGAACAGAATACCCAGAGTGAAGGAACTGATCACGAACAGCTCAGACACATAGTACAAATCCAGTGCTTTGATTTACAGTGGGTCAGGAAGTATCAGGAACCCCGGAGAGCAAGGAGATGCGTCAGGTCCAAGGTTCTGCAATAAGGGGTTCATCAGAACGTTCGAGATCCTTACTAGTAGATGGTTGGTAGTTTGGTTCCAATATCCTGTACAATCATGAGAAGGTCCAGTAGACTCAGAAGGGTGGAGGGTGAGGTGAACAGCTGAAGAGCGCACCCTAGGGTAATGCTCCAGCATTGAAGGGAAGTCATCTGGTGCCTTAAATACACCTGGAGCCTCATCAGGAAACATTGCTTGCAGGTGTGGTAGTATGGCGCCCTCTAGTGACCAAAGAACAGATGTGGAAACTGGAACTCCCACACGAACGGTTGTACATCTACAACTGTTTATCTTGGTTAAACCACAGAGATCGTGCTACAATGTGGTGGTAGTAGCCGAGAGTCATTCACAACATACTCTGAGTGTCATGAGATTAAAGAGTTAAGGTTTGACTAAAACTGGGATTCGTAGGTTTCCAGGCCTCACTTTCTCCACAGCTGCCGCTCCTTCTAATCAGCCACCACTCCACTCCTGCACCCAATTTGGACGCTGAGTATATTCTGACGTTCTGCTGATGCTGGGACATTATGAGACCTAATGAGACTTCCTCATCGTTCCTTGTGACTTCGCCCTGATCTTGTCCCTTCAACCATCCGAACATCAAGCTGGATCAGTAACCTCCAAACAAACAACCTGCTCCTCTGGATCACTTACCGTCCTGTCCAAGGACCTCTCCGTCTCCAGACACCTGTAAGAGAAGACGAAAGCAAAATTCATCTAAACCTGAAGAATCACACGACTTGTTCTTTTTCCCTTTCAGCCCTGAACGTCAACACTTGTAAATAAAAAACCTTTTGTACGCCTGACTCTGTCTCTTCCTCCGTCTGATGGGGTCAACATGATCTAAAAACGTTAAACAGCTTAACTGTCATTTCTCATCACAAGATGATCTAAACCTCTTGCATTAAAGGTGCTGAGGGATGTGTGGTCCTTCCAGGAATGCCAGGTCTTCAATTATTTAGTTTTTAAAAGATGTCCATGAATCTAATTAAGGCTGTTAGATGAGAACATCTTTAAAATCCAAAATAACCTCAATGAAACTGATGTAAAATAAACCAACACCACATCCAAGTGGTTATTGACACAATAAAAATGTCTCTAAGCTCCTTTTTTACACCAAATTTAGGAAACAAACCTGCTCCGGTTCAATACAAGAACAAACAAAATTTAAATCTTGTCCCAGTGGTTCCTCCTGCCCTTATTTGTCCTCCAAGTGTCAGAACTTCTGCAGGTTCAGGATAAATAAATAAAATAAAAACGTTTTGTTGATTTACATCTGGACACCCTGACTTGTTGCATGTTTAGGTTCCCCCGCCATTGAATCTGAATTCAACCTATTAATACTGACTGAGTTGTTTCAGGAAAAGAAAAAAAAAAAAACCTCCCCCAATGGCGCGCCTCTTACGCACGGAAAGGCGTGCCCAGCGTTGCGCTTAAATTCAAGTCGGTGCAGCTGAGCAGAGCAGAGCTGGCTTTGAACTAGCACCCAGTCGGACCTCCCTAACTAAAAGCAGGACTTTGTTTGTGACGGTTTGAATCAGCTGATTCTGATGTGACGCGCTGCAGATTTGAACCTTGTGGTTTGACGCGTTTGTGCCACTTTGGAGCTTCCGGTGCGCAGCAGAGGAGGCTGCAGAGGGAGGTTCTTCTCTTCACCGTGGCTTGAATATAATACAGACCCAGCATCTGGTTTGTGAGTTGACCAAATCTTTTATTTGATCCAACTGGTGTGTGGAGATCCACCTCACAGCAGCAGCGCGCGCCGAGCCCCCTCCGGCGAACCTGTCTCTCCACTGCGCCTTTTTTATGGCTGAAGTTGGAGATTTCCCCCCGACTGGACCCAGTTTAAGGACTTAGAAGTTATTTATTTATTTGTCTTGCTGTCTGCTCCTTCCATCACGGTGAGGATGATGACAGAGAACAATGAGATGGAGCTCCAGCGCTCCCCGAGCAACATCCCCATCCAGCCCATCGCATCCAAGGCAAGTAGAACCGCAGTTTGGACTTTTCCACCTCTAATGTCAGCCAGCTGCATGATAATGCAGATATCTGAGGTAAAATAGACTTTTATTTAATTTGGGAAGTTTGCACAGCAGCTCGACTCAAACAGTGAGGGGGGAATGGCAAAATAAATGTTATTTTTCATGGATTATTCGTATTTTCTCCACCTGTCTGTCTGAAGAGGTTCAGCTCACAAAGGCAGTTGTATCCTGATTGCGTCACTAGGTGTAACCTGCACGTAGGGTCTGATGTCACACACACACACACACACACACACACGCACACCTCCACACACAGATGTTCAAAAATTATTGTTCGTTTTGATGGAGCATTTACAAATACTGATGGATATATTGCATATTTTTCTTTTTTGTGCGTTTGGTGCTTTATTGCTCTTTTTTTTTTTTTTTAAGGAATTGGCCACAATCCATATGAAGCATTAACTTTTTAACTTAACAGCTGTTTTTAGTTTTATGCACACAAAAACCTTACACCCACAAGAGGACTGACTGATTTCCATAAATATAAAAATGTATAAAATACAAAAAATAAATAAATTCAGGGTTGAAAACAAAACTATTTCATTTGATATAAATGTAACTTTTACATAGCTTGTTATATTAAAATAAATATTTCAGACGTTTTACTATGACGTTATGCGAAAATAAGTATCTTACCTGTTGTAGATGGATCTTGGAGACCATTTACTAATGGCTAATTTTAGTAGACCAAGACCAAAGTGGATTTCTGTCATCTCAATTCAAATTTATTTTTGGTTCTTGTGAACACAATTTTATAAACTTTTTTTTTTTACACTGTTTTAGTTTTGTGTTTCACTGTTATTCCAGCAAAAATTATATATTTGTGTCAGAAGTGGCCCGTTGCTATCAGCAGCAAGTTGCTGCTGCTGATATTTGCATGTATAATCGTTTAGCCTAAAGCAAATCTGATGGTGAAGTAAAGGTTTATAACAGCTGTGAGCCACTTTAGTTCTTGACTCCACTGAAATTAAACTTCTATTTTCCAAACTGAGGTCATCCAAGACCTAAAAGGTAGATATTTACTGACCATAAGAGCTAGACATCGGACCAGAAGCCAGAAGTTGAAACCTCAAAGGACGAAGGCCCACTAGTGGCGGCCTGATGTACAATTTGTAAACTGTGACCCTCCAGTTAAACACATTTTATATATATTTCCTGACTGAAAAATGAAACAACTCTTCAGATGTTCATTGTTAAGTTCTTTTAGGGAGTTTTGCTCAAGGTTTTGTGAATGTTCTGACTGGCTGAGAATGTTAACGGACCATGAACCTTGTGTTTGTGTCACCAGAGAGTTCTTTTCTCTCAGAGAGCTCGGTGAGGAGCTGATTTGATCCTGCATGCACAGCTGGTGGTCCAGGGACACCAGTCTGTCTGTGAGCCGAGAGCTGATAAGGTTATAAAAACAAGCCCGTGGCAGATTCTCGTGACTGGACTCCGTGTTCTGTACATCTGTGTTGTGAAAATCTGCCCTTGCAAGTAAAACCAGTTAAAAATCATCTCGTGCCATCGAGTTTGGCTTCTTTGAGTGAGAAGAATAAAGGATATTTTTATCTAACAAGTATCCTGTGTTGGCGCCTGTAAGAACCACCAAAGCAGATCCCATTTCTGTCCTTTCCCTCCTTCCTGTGACTCGGATGAAGTTCTTGTGATTCGGTTTGATTTGTTGACTCAGCTGTAAAAATCAAAGGTTTTCATGGCAGCACGCCGATTTCATGAGACCGCTTCAACTTTTCCTTGAGCGCCGTCTTTGTCTTCACCTCATGCCTCTTCTCGCCGCCCACACACAAACGAAGCGGAGCTCACGTTTGGAGCGCACGCTCCTCCTTCGCAGGCCGTCTGCCTCTGTGCTGCAGATAAATACTTGATGTCCTCCTCTGTCAGGAGTCCTCACTGAAAACGGCTCCAGTCCGGCGCGGCGCTCAGCCGCTGTGACCAAAGAAAATCAGGAGTAATTCTGTCACAGGCTGGACTGACTGGTATTCACAGGAATCACCGGCTGGCTTCGGCTGATAACCGTATTCCATCCAGTTTAACCAACTCCTCCGTGTGGTTTCCTGCACCGGGATGGGAGGCCGCTCCGCCTGGATTCCAGGACTTTGCTGTCGCCCGCCGCTCGAGGCGCGAGGCGTTTTCGCTTATGTCTCTCTGTAAGTTCGTCTGTAGCGTTAGCGAAACATCTTGTGGACCGAGTTTAAACAAACTATCAGGACGACGGTGCCAGCCCCATTCAAGATGGCCGCCACAGCTAAGCCAACACAAAAATTGCTGTAACTCAATTAATCTGGCAGATATTGAGCTTAAGTTTGGTGTGATGGCAGCTGTGAGTCACCCCATCACTTTGAGCACCAACTTCTTTCACAATATTTGTTTTTGAAACTTTGACATTAACTATTAGAATTAACTGTTTCCTTCTGTTAGCAAAATATCTCCTGAACCACTGTCCAGAACTTCGTAAAGGTTTCAGAAAGATTATAGGACTACAACTGGGGTCGACTCTATTAAAGATGGCCGTCGTTTACAACTGAACTTGTACACAGATCTGACTATAATTCAGTTAATTTTACAGATATTTTTTATCAAATTTGATGTGGTAGTAGCTGAGAGTCCTCTTCAACGAACACTTTGAGTGCTATTACATCTGATGAGGTGTCACAGTATTATAAGCTCACGGTAAAATAATTTAATTTGTAAGCTTTGACCGAAATGGCCTTTTCATCACGAGATGATACCCATGTCTGTTTAACCAGTTGATCAGCATCGTTGCTGAAGGGGTTAATTGTGAAGGAATGTCATCAGGTGATGTTTTAATTCGACAGCAAAGTGGAGATGACTCGGACATCCACCAGCTGCAAATCTCTGTCAGAAAAAACATAAAGTAAATGAAGGACAGATGAACATGCTGCCAAAAGAGGAGAGGGAGCATTAACTTCCTGTGCCTCTTCCAACAACCTCGCCGTTTATTGCCAAGCTTGGCAAAAACACGCGAGCAGGAATGTGAGCGCAGCTCGTGCTGCTTTTCGTCCAGAGCGGTTTGATGCTGTTCACACGGGCGCACAGGTAAACGTCTTCACTCACAGCTGGTGAGCAGTCTTCACATCCCACGGAGCGATGAAACATGGCTGCCACTTGTAGCACCTCCACACGTTGTCCTAATTCATGCAGATTGTAGCCACGTCTAGCTGCTTCGCATGCAAGATGCTCACGTGTTAATCTGGAAAATGGCAGCAAAAAGCTGCTTAGAATGGAAATAATGTTTAACGACAGTTGGACATCAAGCTGAAGAGATTTTGTTGTAGTGATGTTTTTTGTAGTTATCTTTCATAACTTTTTTTTTTCAGTGAGTTGTTCCTGCTGATCACTTTTGTTTAGGGGTTCTCTAACTTTTATATTCAAAGCCCCCAGTCTGATTAAAGTCAAAGGTCCAGAACAACAACAAGAAAATCCTTCAGCTTACAGCCAAACAAATAGTTCTGTTTGCTTGTACGTCTCTAACTTTAGACAATAAAACTTGACACGCGCTGAAGTTTTATAAGACATTTAAATTTAGGTTAGCGTGCCCTGACAGGTTAAACACAGAGAAACCAAGTGTGGAAAAATGGTGTTGATGCCGTCGGTGAGCTGGCACAGAAAGATGTCAGATGGAGGAACTGTGTGTGGCCATGATGTGGTCTTTTTAACACGTTTATGTTCACACTGCAGGTCCTAATGCTCAGGTCTGTTAGTTTCTTCAGATTTTTATTTATTTGCTTGTTCACATTATACCAAAAAACACCTGCAGGGCTTATATACCACCTGCATCGTGAAGGACTCCACTCACCCAGCACTCATGCCCTGCTCCACTCAGGCAGGAGGTTGAGGAGCATTAAGTTTAGAACCACTAGGCTGAGGAACAGCTTCTACCCTGAAGCTGTTAGACTCCATCCATCCATCCATTATCTTTACCCGTTTATTCCATTTTGGGTCACGGGGGTCGCTGGTGCCCATGTCCAGCAATCACTGTGCGAGGGGCGGGGTACACCCTGGACGGGTCTCCAGTCCATCACATGGAGACAAACGAGACAAACAACCATTCACTCTCACTCACACCTAGGGACAATTTAGAGTTACCAATCAGCCTAACATGCATGTTTTTGGTCTGTGGGAGGAAACTGGAGCACCCGGAAAAAAACCCACGCATGCACGGAGAGAACATGCCAACTCCACCCAGAAGGCCCCTGGACCGGGGTTTGAACCAGGGACCTTCTCGCTGAGAGGCAGCAGCTCTACCAGTTGCGCCACCGTGCTGCTCTCTGTTAGACTCATGAATCTCCATTCACGGTGAAAAATAAAATCACTGTGTTGCTGCTGATCTCATGCTGCTTATCTATTTCATGCTGCTGTGTTCATTCGTACTCATCTGCTCACACAGACTCATGTTCGTGCTGCTGTTGTTTAGCGTATTGTTTTTGTACTATTAAGTTTTTAGCGTATTTCATAGTTCATATCTTAAATATTACTACGTTTTTTTCTTTTACAGTTCATATTTTTTGTAAGTGGGATCCTGTGTTTCGTTCCACCACATGTACCACGTATGATGTGAATGACAATAAAGAACCTTGACCTTGAAAAGCGACCTCCATCAGATTCCAGTGGGAACAGTCTACGGTCCTGATGATGTCCTGATGTTTGCATCGCATGTCGCTGTAGATCCTCAGTCGTCCAGGACACGGAAATTATAAAAATAAAAAAGACAAAGCAGCTGGATTTGTATTCTGTAGATGAAGAAGTGCGGAGTTCCAAGCTTTAAACTTTTTGACTTTTATATCAATATTTTTAATATTTGGATGGGTCCACATACCCCTACAGATGAAATCCGTTCAGACTGAGGTCGCTTTGAAAAACGGGGTCTGTATCCAGTTTAGCACCACATACGAAAAAGATGGATGGATTAGAAAAACAAA